GTTCTTTGCTGCTTGCTCAAACCACATGAAACCGGCGTACGTTGGTCGAACGCTGCATAACCGCAAAACCGTGTATACTTATAGTGATTCGCGTGTCTAATAAGAAGCGGGCTCTCTAGGCTAGACTAGGGGACTAACGTGACTTTCTAAGAAAAGGCTCTTCTTTCGTGTGCCGATGCACCGTTCCAAACAAGCATCGATGCCATTCCGTTGCTCAGATCCGATCGAATTTTCTAACGGTACGGCATGCAGTTCTCTACGCTTTCGCTCTCATAACAGTCGACTAAAACACATTGTCTGTAATCGAACTCGAGTTCGAAGGTGCGGATAGAATTTCGCGATCGTTTGCATCGCCTTCCGTCGAGATGCTCGCACCACCTCGTGCTGCGTTTCAACGCGGCCGCAATAACACGCGGCTGAGGGACGACTGTAAACGTATGACTAGAGAATTATCGCGTCGAATCGGAGACATAAAGAGCCGAGCGACGATCAGACCGCGTTTCGTCCAATTGAGAGCCGGCCGCTTCGATCTCCTCGTGGTCTTCGAACGTTCCGCATCCTTCGGCAAACCAGCGACGAAACGAAATTTTGAAATTACCGTTCGGCTATTCGATTACCACGCGATAAAGAGAAAAAGAGAAGGAAACGAAAGGAAGGAAAAAACGTCCGACTAGAGTTTCGTTTACGACCTTCGACGACGTTGAAATTCAATACCACGCGTACGCGTCTGTTATGCACACTATCTTTTCTAACGCGTGACAAAAATATTCCAACGAGATACCAATTAATCGTTTAAATGGTAAAACGATAAAAAGCTTTCCTCTCTCAATTACCAGATTATAGAACGTAACGGCGCGGTTATTGCCGGCTAATCTATGGCTGCGAAATGATGCATTCTTTGCGGCCGAGTCTAATTGAATAACTGTCGCTGTATACGCGAACAATACCGGTCGAGCTGAAAGGCGGTAAAGAAGAATTCGCCGCTCGTCACGCTCATTCACGCTCGCCCGATGAATACGTTTTACCACAAATCTTCCTCTCGTCTTCTCTTTCTTCTCTTTCTCTTCTTTTTTTCTTTCTTTTTTCTCTCTCTCCCTCTCTCTCTCTCTCTCTCTCTTTCAAAGCCATCGTACACGAGTCGTTATTGTTTCGGAGCATGCGAATTCTTCGGACCGCGGCTGTTGCCGCGCCGTCAAACGTCGCGTCGCCTAATCGTCGATCGCAATCACGCGGATATGCTCGCGTCTCGCGCGAGCTACGTCCATACGGCAGCGACCTCGGTAAGTCCGAGTGTGATCTCTAGTTTTAGTGAGTCATATAATATCATATCGAATTAGTTGCAAAATAACAAATCATTCTTATGCAGGTGTCACTGTACTATGGGCCTTTGTGATCCATGACTGATGGTAGTAGCAGTAATGATAGCGTTGTGAGCGAAAATAGAGATTCGCCTTCCCGGGCTGGTAACGATGAAAAGAACATGGAGTATGTTTGGTCGTGGACAGCCATGCAAAAACGTATCGGGAGTAATCCGGGAAATCGGAATTCGGGACAAATGTTAGAAAAGAAATAGAAGAGCTGGAACGTCAGCTCTGCCTTGACTGATGTTCCTAACTAGAAACCGGAATTGTTGCACGTGTTAATTGCTATGAAAATCTGATCAGAGCGTAGAACGTGGTTTCGAGATCGTTTCGGTTTCCAGACGCAGATGGAGCCACGCGTTTCTACCGATATCGATACCTTGGGATGTAGAGCGGGCGCAAGTAGCAACAGGCGAAGAGTTTCAACGAGAAACTGCGATCAATCGCGGTAATGGGAAGCGAGAATCGACGTAACGAGACGCGACGTAGCCGAGGGCGGAACACTCAACGATGCAAGTTGGTTGGACACGAGAAACCAGCTTCGATGTAGAAGCGTAGAGGAAGCGAGTGACGCCGGTGTCTCGACAAAGGAGTCGAACTCGATGCGTGTATCGCAATGGGAAACTAGAACGGGCCTCTTGCGTGTGCCGCGCGCGACGAACACTGCTCTTATACCGGGTGCTCTACTCAAATATCAGGATTTTCCTTTGAACATCGTAGTTACATCTTGGCAGGAAGTTGAGCTATGCCGATCGAGTTACTTCGCTTTGCTTGCATTCTTCCGCAGATTTGGCAAACACACCGATCCACGTGAGACGCGGTCTTTGATCAAAGTAAAGAATATTTTAGCTGTCGTTTCTACAAATAGTTTTGGGGTGTGCAACCTGCGAAACGTCAAACGCTGCGTATTTATCGCCTTACGCTATAGTCAGCGGTATAGGTGGACGAAGCTCCCAACGAGTTTCTTCTTTTACACAGGTTTCCACGTCGCGTTCATTGCACCTGTGCGGTTATTAGCGACGCGAAAAGAAAGATTTACTAGTCGCATTCCCGTAAATAACGATGTGCCTTTCGAAAGGGAGAAGACACTCGCAACTTTATTTTTATCGCACGAATTTAACGTTCCTTTCGCCACGAATGAAACACACGAACATCGTATCTAAGAATCTGCGTATATTTTTCATTTAATATTTCGTACACTGATAACTTAACATTTGATAGACGACAGTTTATCGGAACGCACGCATCCGCTGTATTCGTTTCAGAATAACATTGTCAAAAAATAAATAAAAGAAGAAACGATAAACCCTGAAATTGTTAGGTGGGAAATATGTAATTGAATTTCACTCGAACGAGCCATACCAGCAATGACAATGCTAAATAGGACACCCTGTACGCAGACACGGTATTTATATGCGAGAATAATCAGCAGACACTTCGGTTTCGTTCCCATTTGTTGAAATTCAATGGGACAAACGTGCCGGCTACCTCGCCGTCAGCGTCAAAGTACAACTAGCTCAACCTTAGACTGCAACTCGCAAAGAACCGAGCGTACACCTAGTCTCTGTAATAGTTGAACAATAGACGTGCCATGTAATCACGATCCTCGGCTCATACGTATAACCAATGGTCGAACCAATCGCTCGTCCTCGAACGCGTCGTACCGATCTCCGCCTCCAGTGTTTCCGGTGAAAACGCCGCGCTACCCTTCGCTGCCGTAACGCGTTTATCGCTGCGAGATCCGAATCGTCGCGATCTGTCGGCCCTTTGGGCCGAGGGCGTTTCCAAGAAACGAACCGTACCGGTTGCCCGAGGACACTTATTGATTTACGGCAGGCAATTGCTGAAGAAGCCCCTTCGGTCGCAACACCACAGATCTCGAGTCTCTCTCGACCGGGGCTCTTCAACCTCGAGAGTCTACCGCGAACCACGAAACTACGCTATCGATGTGATAATCGCGGGCTAAGTGCGATCCAGTGCGTTGCCATTCGTTTCTTCCGCTATTTTGTCTCTCCGTTTGGTATTCCAAGTACCAAGTGGAAAAGGCACGCGTCTAGTAGAGCGGCGAGCAACAACACGGTATACGTGTCGGATGAATTATCGATCTGTATCATCGGTAACGTGAAACAGATGCGAATAAAGAGACGGAAGCCTTGGGGGCTGGTGAATGACGCTGGTCCGTATCGTCAACAGATCGTGTTCTATAAAATGTAACGTACAAATTCTTTGACGGGCTGAATGGCGAGGAGAATGGAACCGAACGAGAACTGTATCACAGCATTTTCCTCGGATTCTCCGGTATAATCGAGTTTGCAACGTCGCTTTGACTCGCGCGTACCACCCTCTTCGCATTCTTCAGCCGTCAATTATTCTTGCAAAGGGTAATTTAAGCGCGTTAAACGCGTCACTCGCTTCGATCCACAGACGTTTCAAACTCGCAGCTGCCGCTTCTCATCTTTTTCCTCCGCGAGATCGCCCGGAGGCTTCGCGAACGGGAAACAGAAATTTCGGCAGAATTCGGGGCGACGAACGACGAGTCGAGTGATCGTCGGCGAGATGTGATAACGAGAAGTGGTAAGGTCGTGGCGGAAGGAGAGAAAAATGGGAGTGGAAAGCCGGGCGAGCGACTGAATCAGCGCGAACACGCTCGAGGGATATGAAGCGTTCTAGTAGAGCGAATGATCGCAAGTGGCTGTATTTTAAGACGATTCTCGAGAAAATGAGACAACGAGACGTTCCCGTGGCTGCGTTGCTGCTGAGACGGAGAGCGTGTTCGTGGGAGAATCTCGAATTCTTCGTTATGATAATACGAACGGGAAGAAAGCGAACGGACGACGAGGAGGAAATAGACGACGACGAAGAGAAAGGAGAGAGAAAGATGAAGAAAAATAAGAAAAGAGATTGTCGATTTAGGAATAAGTGGGGGGGGGGGAGAGAATGAAAACATTCCGATTGCATGGAGAGAAGTTAGAGCAGCTGTGAAGAAAAGATGCGGTGGTAAAAATCGAAAAGACTGAAAACTAGCGTGTTCAAGTTTATCAAGCGCCAAGTAGGTTGACAAATTTCAAACGAAAAACTAAGAAAGCGATCAAACAGAGTGAGAGGATTGAGAAGGGTAGGGGACGTGGAATGGAGGGGACGTGCTGTAAGGAAGAAGAAGCTGAGAAGGGATACGTAACAGGGAGAAGAATAAATCGAGTAGTTAAAAGTAGTTAAGTAAAGTATCGGAGGAGAGTAAGTAGTATGTGTTCGTTTGTTTGGCGGGCATTAACTAGAGTCTTAAGTGAAAGTGAGTACATCATACGTCATGTCACCATAGCCCACGGTCGTCATCGTGACAACGGCCCACCAGAACGCGTCCGGAATGGACTTGAAGAACGAATTCTCGGAGCCGGCCTCCGCGAAGTATACCGCCGATGAGAATAGCACCACACCTGCAATGCAAGGAAGAAAACACCGGTTCAGTGGGTTTAACGCCCCCGGTGGCTCTGTACCTCATGTCCCCGTAGCCCACGGTCGTCATCGTGACCACCGCCCACCAGAACGCGTCCGGTATCGATTTGAAGAAGCTGTCTTGCGAGCCCGCCTCCGCGAAGTAAACCGCCGACGAGAACAGCACCACACCTGGAACGCACACAAGAGGAACAGACGCTTCAAGACACGCTACTTTGCCGGCCTCTAGCTCTTAGTCCGTTTAGCAGTCCTCTCCATCCGCGTCTACGTCCACTGCCGTGACTCCTTCTCGTGTTCTCGTATCGTCCTCACGACCCTGCATACACGAACCGATCCATCGACCGATCAACCGATGGATCGATTGCCACGCCACGCGCCATTCTCTTCCAACTTTCCTCTTTTTCCGCTCAATCGACCAAGATCCACGTCTTTATGGGTCTGCTTCCATTACGTTGATTGGATTTCCAGTCTTCTTGCAGATACGCCACGATCGGCCATCGTTTTTCGTTACCTAGAGATATCTTCGCGCAGCCTTCCACCGACTGCAGCAATACACTTTCAAAGGATTCGTCTGTTCCCTCGCTCAAACAATGGACGCGAATCTTTCCACACATCCGGGCAACGACTCGTCGAGCGCCAGCGAATCTTTGGCATTCGTGCGATCACGAATATGGAAAACTTACGTAACCGTTTGTCGTCCCTTAAGGAAAACCGACACGTTTCTAGAAAAATCGACGAACACAGAGTTTAGAACTCTTCCGGGACCCGAATTACGAATCGATAGGCGAACGAGCCTGTAAATCTGCTGGTGGCAGGCCACCCTCCGAACACACAGAAATCCTCGTCAGCGGAAACTGAAAAACCTCGGAGAATACGCCTCCGGTTTTCGACGAAACGATACTTTTCACCAGACGATACCAGACTACCGTGTTATTTTCGCGGCGACGAGAAGCATCGAAGATTCGGCCGATTAAATTGCAAATTTCTGGCTGCCGGTCGGCCCCTCAATTTCACGCTCTTAGAATTCACCGTGCAAATAAACGGCTGTGTCGTTGCTGGGACGCTCGGAAATCGACTAAACTTCCATGGACCACGTAAACACGTCCGACGCGAGGGAACCACTACATCGTCGCTCAGAACTTTCCATACGCTTGAAAAAACCACGCATGACTACTTCATTTGCTTGCGGCTATCGTGAATCGTTGCTCGATCGAGCATCGATCCTGATCTATCGAAACCGACGTCTAAACGTTCCAGCGACGATGCATTGGTTGGTCGGCAATTAAGCGATTCGCGGACTTTGTCAATATGACCTAATGACAAACTCCGCAATCACTTAGTTGCCAACTAAATAGCTACATCTTTTGGAATTACGGAAAGTGAAAGAGTCGTTTAATCGATAGGTTGCTGCTGCCGAGCTGGTCTCCTATAGAAGTCTAGTAAACGAAGAGACAAAGCAAAGAAACATGCAGAGAATGGTAAAAGGATAGAAGATAAGAAAAAGGTAACTCACCGATGAAGAGGAAAAAGATGAGCAAGCCGAGCTCCCTCATGGAGGCCTTGAGCGTACGACCGAGGATCTGAAGGCCTTTACTGTGCCTGGACAGCTTGAATATCCGGAACACCCTGACGAGCCTGATCACCCTGAGTATCGCCAGGGACATCGCCTGGTTCGTACTCTTGTCCTGCGGGCTTACCGGCGCCTTTGGTTCATCAGGCGCCTCCTCATCCTCGGCCATCACGGTACCGAGCGTGATAAAATACGGAATGATGGCGATGATATCGATGAAATTCATTACGTCACGGAAGAAGTTCAGTTTATTTGGACAGGCGAGGAAGCGCACCGATAACTCGAACGTGAACCAGATGATACAAATAGTCTCTATTAGGAAGAACGGGTCGGTAATGTCCGGCACTTCGTCCTCCTCGATCTTCGTGCCGTTCGTTGTCGTGTTGAAGACCTTGTAGTGTTTGAATTCCGGCAGGGTCTCCAGGCAGAATATCACGATCGACAGGAGGATCACGATCACGGATATTATGGCGACTACCCGGGCGCCTTGCGAGCTTTCCGGGTACTCGAACAACAGCCAAACCTTCCTCTGCAACTCATGCGATGGCAGCGGCTTCTCCTCTTCCTTGATGAAGCCCTCGTCCTCCCTGTTCATTTCATCAACATTATCTTTCGCAGTCTGCTCGCTCGCATGTCTAACGTTTACGGTTGCACGCGTAAACGTAATTGTTTAATGGCGCGCCTCTAAGCACAAGCGTACGTCTACTACGTACGTCGCCTCTTGTCTTGCCACGGAAGATGAAACGCACTGAATGAGAACGAACAACAGTCCTCTTTCCTTTCTGTTTCTCTAACCGAAAAGCTGACTAAGTTCGGCAAGCGAGACATCTTCGAGCAAAGCTGAACTTGCTTCGAGTACGCGGGTCATTCGACGATCTTGTAATTTTGATGTTTTTATTTTGTAATTATTGCGTTTCATCTAGTAGAGAATATGCGCGCTATCGTTTAACGCTTGAACTACCGATAGTTAACACGAAGCTATTTCTACCAAAACCAGTGAAAATGACTGGTCTTTAAAAAATACGTAATTATAAATACGTACTACGTAGATACGTTTACATTTTTGGTATTATATAATTCATCTGGGACCATCATCCCTAAACGAGGGTTGACACATTTATAAAATTGTAGAACCAGTCATTCTGACTGCTGTGGGATTGCTAGTGTTAGCTATCTAACGATCCAGCTATCTAGCGATCCAGCGATCCAGCGATCCAACGATCTAGCAATCCAGCATTCTAGCAATCCAGCTATCCAGCGATCTAGCTATCTAGCGATCTAGATATCTAGCGATCTACCAATCCAGCATTCTAGCGATCTAGCGATCTAGCAATCCAGCATTCTAGCGATCTAGCGATCTAGCAATCTAGCATTCTAGTGATCTAGCAATCCAGCGATTCAACGATCTAGCAATCCAGCATTCTAGCGATCTAGCATTCTAGCGATCTAGCTATCTAGCGATCTAGCGATCTAGCGATCCAGCGATCCAGCGATCCAGTGATCCAGCGATCCAGCGATCCAGCGATCCAGCATTCTAGCGATCTAGTTATCTGGCGATCTAGTTATCTGGCGATCTAGCTATCTAGCAATCTAGCTATCCAGCTATCTAGCTATCTAGCAATCTAGCGATCTAGCAATCTAGCTATCTAGCTATCTAGCGATTTAACTATCTAGCGATCTAGCTATCTAGCGATCTAGCAATCCAGCGATCTAGCGATCTAACGATCGATCTGGAATTTTCCTGATAACTGATATCGTCATATCGAATGATACGCAGTAAAAATTTGAAAAACGTGTGGCAAGTTGTAAAAAACGAGGAAAGTGGTTGATTGGGGTTCGATAAACAGATCGCAGGATCCTTTTACACTTTGACGAATACCAGACATTTTCACTGGTATTTTTATATAGGTAGCCTTGATACAAAATTATTTTCAGTTTGAATACATAAAAGACAAAATAAGATTCATTATATTATTCTTTTAGTTATCGTTGCGAAAGTCATTACATCATTGCGGAAAAAATATAACATGAAGTAGGAATTTAAAAATAAAATTGTAGAACCAGTCAATTTGACTGTGTGGTAGTTCTAGTGTTAAAAGAGATATTTGCTTCTTTTTAGGCAAGACACTATTTAATTGCAGAATTTCGAATAACGTTTTATTAGAATCACGCTATCTTATGAAATATCGTTTACTGATCGACGAGAACGATGTCGGTTCGTACCTGAACTTGTTGGTGGCCAGCTCGCCCAGTTCGTAGAACTTGATTTCCTCGGAGAAGACATCGAGAGGAACGTTGACCGGGCGACGCAGCCTGCCACCGCTCTGGTAGTAGTAAAGTATCGCGTCAAAGGAGGGCCGATTCCGGTCGAAGAAGTACTCGTTGCGAAGCGGATCGAAGTATCGGATCCGCCGATGCGGATCGCCAAGCAGCGTGTCCGGAAATTGGTTCAGCGTACGCAGCTGCGTCTCAAACCGTAGCCCGCTCACCTGTCGAGATCGTCAGAATCGATTATTGGTACACTGGTACACCGCAGTCTATCCCTAACCGTAATCCTCGTTCGATCATTCGTGCATTGCTAATTACGACGACGCGCCTTGCCGACCAGCTTAACGCTTTACCAACAGATAGCCGATTAATCGGTTTTTTGATGCCGACAATCTTTCTCATTATTTGAGCAGTAATTTGTTATTTAGTGCTAAGGTACCTTGCTCAGTTACGTTGCTTTGTAAGATCCCACAGTTTTATACCAATTTGAAAAACTTACCGTTCGCGATGAACGAAAAGAATGATATTGGAGGGTCTAAACCGAAACAGAGCCGGTACCAGGGAAAATCTGCGTCTGAGCTACCGATCGGACGTGCGTATGCTGTTGAACCGGTCGGTAAAGAGTTAAGCAGGTCACCGAACTTACCAACCTGTTCATTGCACATCGCTAGTCTTGTACGCGAAACAAAATCCATCTGATTTCGCTTAAACTTGAATAAAGTTTGAATAAGTTTCGCGGTGCACAGCTATTTATAGTAGCCCGGAGAGCGATCAGCTCGCGTGGGAGTCTATGTTTGAAGAATGTTAGGAGAGCGGATAGATAGGATGGGTCAGTGAACCCTCTCGGAATAGTTTGCTTCGTTTGACGAGTGGTTGTTTGAAATCGTACAACTTGGAAGCGTCGGACGAGGCGAGCTAGAAACAGCTCGTCAACGCGATTCAGACACCTTCTTCGAGAAGATTTGCGGAGCGTTCGCGGTGACGACCGGACGATACTACCACGATTCAACGATGATCGTGGTTAACCAGTGTGCGGCAACGTAATGTCAATTACGAGGGGGAAAAGGACAGCTCGGGTGCGGCTGATTTGTTTTGGCTCAAAAACCAACCACTTTCTTTCGATGCTGCTGGCCGCCGCGGAAAACTAATAAACGAAACTAGGCTAATTGCGTGCTGCCATTAGCACGATTAAGAAGAAAAAGAAGAAGTATCGGTTATAACTGTCGCGGAACGACCAGCTTTATCGATAATGTCGGTCGAAAGACCAGCGTCGCCAGTGCACGGCTACACCGTCGCTGTTCGACGATCGCATCTCGTCCAAGGATTGGCAACTAAGTGATTGCGGATTTTGTCAATACCACTTAATGATAATATCCGCAATCACTTAGTTGCCAACCCATTATTTAATTTTCATCTGACGAATGTTAATTGAATAATTGTGAAAACTGTGAAATAATTAAAATTCAATTACAAATTATACAAAACATTTTCTAGCAGGATATTTCTAACTTGGCAAAGTATCCAAGTAATTTAATACCGCGTTTCAAATCTTTCGTATCGACTGAGAAATTTACCTGCTTTATCGTTATCGATGGAATCGCGAGCTGCATTTGCGCCGGTACACACGGATTCGAGGGAGGAAAGTTGCATGGGCGTAGGGGCTTTAGGCGGGGCATAAAAATCTATTATTTCGAAAGTGCAATTAGTCTTTTTGAAGATGATAGCGTGCGATTGGATTGAAAGGACGGGACCGCGGTGCATCAGGATGACGAGCGGCCC